TTTAAACAAAACTTAAAACTAGCTATTTTCTATGCTTGAAATCCTTCTGCCCATCAACGTTAGCATTCTTTCAGGTTTTTATTGGTTTTTAGAGAGAAAGAAAGAGAGAGATTGATAAAAACATCAATGAGAGAGAAACATTGATAGATCGCCTCCTGCACACCTCCTACTGGGGATGAAGCCCACAACCCAGGCACCTGCTCTGACCAGGGATTGAACCAGAGACCACTCAGTGCAGGGGTCGACACTCATACTGGTCAGGTCCGTTTTTTCAGTTTAACTCTCCACCTTTGCCATTAAATATTTTATAAAACCTCTCCATTCATGACCTCTTTTGGTACCTATATAGATACAATCTTGCTCCTGATTTGCATTGTTTATTTTGCATCATTTATATGAAAGTCGTATATCCCAATTGGAGTGGTAAGCTGGAATCTGCTTTCTCATTCCTTGACTTTGGGCTAGACTTTAAATAAGCTCTAGCCAAAAGAATAGATGGTTGCTAGTTCCAAATATAGGCCTCAAGGCACATTTCCTCTTGCTCTCTTGGAACCGTGCCAAGATGCCATGAGACTAAGCCTGGGTTAGGCTGCTCCTGGATGAGAGATCACATGGAGCAGAGAAGAGTTGGCCAGGCTGAGGCTTACCATACCAGGCAATCCCCAACCAATCTAGCAAACTGACCTCAAAGTCTGAGTGAGCTCAGCTGGACCTATTGCAAACTGCCAACCTGTAGGAACCTGAGCTAAACAAATGGTTCTTGTTTTAAGCCAATACATTTTGGAGTGATGTGTTATGTATCAAAAGCTGCAGAAATAATTGCAACACATAACGGCTCATCCTTTCAATGTCATACTTATCACAGCATGTCTTATATTAGAATCAAGTGTTTGCGGATCACCCCTTTGCTCCTGGAGAGCAGAGACTGTATTGTATTCATTTGTGTCTTCCCTCAGCACCTGGGTTGTACTTCATTCACATTAGCACCCAGAGTTTGGTAAATCGAAGTAAAAATCAACTGAAGTTCAAATTCTGGTATTCATTAGCATTATCTACTGAATATTTAACAATAAGAAAAATATAAACCACGGTACTGTTAAAGAATCAAATAACTACTGAGAATTTACTACTGACCTTGCATTATAATTTCCGATTATTTTAGGCCAGGAAGTATGAGTACTTGGAGTATGTGTGTCCTTCAAGGCAGTTCATAAGTGAGTCCTTAAGTGGCCCTCTCAACAGTTAGTATTAACCCAAATTTGGATTTTTTTAGAAATATGCACGTATATTTAGTATATCAATGTGAAATTGTACTGCAATCCTACTTTTATGAAACTGGAAATATAAAAAGTATAAAGTGGCAAAGAAGGAGATTTTGATGTTTACTGTTTAATTCACATTATTATTAACAGCAGGTTTTCTAAACCCACAAATCTGACAAGTGAGATATGTATGTAAATTTACTATAACTTTGAAGTGCTATACAAATGTAAAGTATCACGGAAGCTTGTATATTCAAAATGTCATTTCAGTCTTTCTCTCAAGAAGTAGGCAAATTAGAATAGATAGAACAGGTGAGAAAGGATGAATGGTTTTGCTATCCACATCTAATTTGCTTCCTAATGAAATTCTATAGTTTTTAAATGACACTCTGCTATTATAGTCTTTTAAGAGATGATTTCATCACATATTCCAGCTTTTGAATATTTTAAAGATTATCATCCAATGGACGGTGTCTGAAACACTCTAAGGCAAAAGAATACGAAAGCATGCTCAGAACGAACATACTCATGAACCAGTGAGGTATATACACTCAATGACAGTAAAAGAACACTACTGGGAACAAGTCCCCCTCTTGCATGGTGCGCACCCTATAACCTACTTACTTTCATTTTAACTTCTTCTTTTTAACATCTGCCATTCCTGTTTATTGTTATCTTTGACTTACAAAAGGCACACTATTCAGTTAATAAGGTGGATAACCGAACTAGAATCTAAAAGGTCTAATTAGATAGGCTAAAAGTAAATAAAAATGATCAAAATCCATGCTGTTAATATGTTTAAAAGAAAAACATAGACCAAAGAGAGTAAAGTCTCCAATTCTGGTCCATAAAATCAACTGCACAAGAACTAGACGAAGAATGGGTAACAATGTTACATTTGAAAAAGACTCGATTATTAGAAGATAGGAAGCTCAATAAATCAGGATAAAAAGCCCGTCCCCCAAACTGGAGTGTGTTAATAAAAACATAAAGAGTCAAAGGGTCAAAGTTAAGTGAAACAGAGTTTAGCCAACTTAAGAAATATCTTTCTCATCATCAGATTGTTCTAAGGTGGGTCTTGCTGCTTTGGGGCAGTGAGTTCTCTTCAAGGAGGAAATTCAAGCACAGTCTTGATTCAAGTATCAGCCAAAGGTTATACTACACAATTTGTAAGAGTAAACCCTGGCTCCCAAATTCCTTAACTCTATTTTAGGATGCTCAAGAGCACATCTGCAAAGGACACATATTCAAAGACACTTAATCATGCCTCATTTGAAGTCCAGATACCTCCTTTAGAAACACACTCCCAGACTTTAATCTATTTATAGTTTGAACATCTCTGTAGTTCAAAAGAAGAAGTCTCCTTTTAAAAAATGCTCACTTTTAATAAGTTATGAGAATGACTCAGATAGCGACAAGAAGATCAATATTTTCAGCATAGGGTGTGGAAAGATAATTTTTCTCACAATAGTTCAACCTACCTGAGACCTCCAAATAATGAGCTACTGCCTGAGAGCTAGGAGAGTTTTTCAAGTGATCTGTTAAACACTTAGAGCTGCTTGCCCGGCCGGTGTGGCTCAGTGGTTGAGCGTCGACCCATGCACTAGGAGGTCACTGGTTCGATTCCCGGTCAGGGCACATGCCCAGGTTGTGGGCCCATGCATCGGGAGGTCACTGGTTCGATTCCCGGTCAGGGCACATGCTCAGACTGTGGGCCCAATCCCCAGTGGGGGGTGTGCAGGAGGCGGCCAATCAATGTTCTCATTGGTGTTTCTATCTCTCTCTCCCTCTCCCTCTCCTTTCCTCTGTCTCTAAACCTCTCTCAATAAAGAAAAAAAAATTAAAGCTGATGCTTTAATAGAAACAGACATTGATAGAAATTAGGTGATAGATTCAATAGGAAGAGATATACTCTTTCACTATCAGTCAAATTTTGAAGTTTTGGGTTCTACTACGTACAATCATAAAAGGAAGTGGAGAACAGAAATGTAATAGGAACCAGGAACCTAAGCATAAACAGCAGCGCTCCCCGGGAGCTCCCAAGCACGGCGCTTTCACGCAGGTGCAGGGTCACCGTGCCCTGCCTGTTTTCTAACCTACTCCCTTAGTTCACTTTTCTGTGAACTATGGTTGCTTTCCATAGGGACCGAAACCACAAACTAGACTGACCACACTTCCATCTCATGAATAGTGAGGAGGGAAACATTTCTTCCTTGGATGTGTTTCTCCAATGAAATTCAATTTCTGCTTTCCAAGAAAAGCCAATTGGCCTGAAATTTCTGAGAAGAAACACGGGGAAAAGTCCAGCAGATCCTCTCCAGAATGCCCTAAAGCAAAAGCCCGATCTTTCCACCTGCCATCAGCCAAGGGGTTAAAACCTGAATGTCTCAGTTGAGCTGCTGAATCCACAGGTGGAATGTCTTCATGTAGAAAGAGATACTGAGCTCCATTTGTGACCATGCTGAGAAAGCCTTTATGTAAGAGAACCCCCACCTCGGCCCCCAAATATTAAGTTGACACACGTTTCTGGGACGCGGCCGGAATCCTCAAACTTTGGCGGATCTATAGAGACACAATTTTCTGTTTTCTGCTTAACAGGGCTTTCCAGAATTGTCATCAGATGACAGATTACACCACCCATCACAAGGATTCAGGGGTAGCTCAAGCCATCCATTATGGGTTAAAAGCTGTTCCAGCATGAATCGAGTCACAGTGGTAAGGAGACTACCGATACAGCTTTAAGAAATACCCTGGGCATCTAAAAGTTTTCAGAATGCAAACTATGTCAGCTCTGAAAACAAGAGGTACTGCATCATTATGGCAGGAGAAACAAAGCCAGCCCCCTTTTTAAAACAGACCAAAAAAAAGATTGTTTTAATAGGAGAGAAGCATCAGTCATTGATTCTTACTTCATTCACACTTTCTATCCAACCCCATCCATCTTCAGCGTGAAGAGATGACAGAGCCCAGTTAACTTTCTCCCTCTCTAGGCCCCCGCCCATCCTGTTCCTCTGTACCCAAACCACCAAGGCCTACCCACCATTTCAACCTGCAGGCAACAGCTCTATAGAACAACTCTTTCTATCGGATGGGCTTGCAAAGCTCAGGTATGCCTAAGGACAGGCTTCCAACATGCTACTTTAACAGGGTTGCCTGTCAGGTTAGTATGAGTGGTCAGGGCCTTTGCTAATCATCTTCTAAAATGACCACTTAGTCACTCATGGCTGACCACACTCCACGAAGGAGGGGATGGGAAGACTTATGGCAACAGAAAGAAGTCAACAAGCCTAACCAACAATCCCGAATGCAAAATATTCCATTTCCCTTAAATGCTGCTGCCCTCATTATCTGCAGACAAAAGTTCTCTAGGCAGGCAGTCTCTGCATCAGTGCACCTGCTCAGCATTGGTTTGCTCAGTTATCTTTCTGCTGTGTCTGCAGAAGCCAACTACAGCACAATGGGTCACATCACTTGAGGGTCACTTGAGTCCCTCTACTCTTTGGGTCCCTCCTCCCACCTCCTGTCTTCCCTTCTACCCACAAAACCTTTAACTCCACCATAGCTAAGGATCCCAGATAGCTAAATAAAAGAGGTGGCCTCAAACACAGAGAAAAACCCTTAGGTCTCCAGTGTGAATCGCCAACGCCAATCCCCCTCCCTCCCCTTTTCCTTAAGACCTGATGGTCTTCAGTCACACATCTTAAAAGAAAAACAAAAAACAAAAACACAAAGACTTACTTGTCTCAAGTCGATGAAGGCCAACTGCAGCGTGTCCTCCTGGAACCCAGGCACCGGGCCGGATCTGGCAAACTCTGTGGGAAAGAAAAGAGGATAAAAAGCGCCTTTAACTAACCATGGACAGGGAGATTGGCAGACGGATGACAGGGAAGACAAGAGAGGCTGGGGGAGAGGAGGACCAAGCTTCTAAGGAGTCATGTCTCTCTCCCTTCAGCTTCTTTGTTTGCCCTTCAAAATTCGTGTCATCAAAACACCATTAATTCCAGCATCCTGACAGCAAGGAAACTGTACTAATTCGACCTGAAATTTATTCCCATGAGCCGCGCTGGGCTTCAGAGTATTTGTTTTGTGAATGGACAAACAACTTGCAAAGGAGGAGGGAGTGGGGGAGAGAAAAAAGTTTTTCCTCCCAACACAATAAAATCTTCAGCTGTGAAACTCTTTTCAGTTCCGAAAGCTATTTATATTTTAGATCGCTGAAGGAATTTTCCAATTTCACGCCTGTCACCTCATTCCCCAAGCATTTATCAAAAAATATTCCCTGCCACATCATTAATTATTCCCTCACTGATTATGTGTATTATCTCATGGGTGCATTATTGCCAACACACGCACACACACACACACCAGCAGCAGAGACGCCCCGATACAGTGCTTGGTCTTGAGCAAAGGAGTATTTGCAGATATGAAAAGGCCCATCTAAAGAAATCTTTCTATAAAAACTTAGGGAGCATTTGCACATGTCCGTTTTTCTAGTATATTTTTCTATTCCACTTTCGAAAATTCTTTTTCTCTTCCCTCGACTCCAATATAGTCTTAGGTCAAAGAAACCAGACCACACGAATGCTCTTTGCAATTTACAGTAGTGCCTTGGGTACACGCTCAGTTTACGACTCTGGCTTCTGCGTCGTTAACAAGAAGATAACTGCACAGGGCTACAGGGACAGATACTAGTAACAGTTAAGAATGTCAAGTTTTATTGTCCCTAAGCCTGCTTATTATGAAATCAAAGGTCTTGTGGAAGCCCCCCACACAGGCGCACGCGCATGCTTGCACACACACACACACACACACACAGCAAATTCAAAAGTTGGACAGTTACTATGTCTTGAATTCTCTCTATGAAGCCAAAGTGTGACGGATATTTAACATCAATCTACTATTTACCTCAGAAACAACTCCAGGATCTATTCAAAGCAAATATGAAAAGGAATGTTTTCTTTTCAATTATATTTTTTCTCAGGAATGAATTTAAGAAATTACAGAGAGTTGGTATCATATTTTTCTTTTGAAATTAAATAAAATCCATCAAGATATTTACATATTTGTCTGAAAAATTACTTCAAACAGCTAGTAGCTGGATAGACTCAAATGATGACTTGTGGACAATGAAAATAATTTATGTCCATTAAAAATATTTTTCATCTAGGGGCTTCTTACACATGAAAGGTTTTCACAAAATAATGCTACCAAGTCAAGTTGCAGGGATTATGAAAACAGTGTGTGCAATAAAATTTTAAACAATTTATTTAACTGATTAAAATATAGCACAAATGTATACAAAAAAATCTTATTTTAGACATTTCAAATAAAAATGACTCATAAATGAAGGAGACAAACTATATACCATGATCAACATAACTAAGCTTCTATTTGACTTGAAGACAAAATTCAAATGCCATTTACAAATTAATTCCATCATATGGATAAACCAAATGATTAAAATTTTAAAAGAGTAAAACTCTAAAACTGTGCAAATACTTGATGAGGGCCCTGTTAATAGGAAGCTTGACATAATCCACCCTTCATATCTTACAATAGCCATTATCTGTGATAACCTTGTATACAGCAGCTGCTCAAGTCACATGCACATTCTAAGCTCCTGTAGAAAACAGTTCTTTGAATTACAGCCACGGCCCCGTCTTTGACAGCCTCAATTGTCAGGTGGTCAGCGTCAATAGGCTTCCCATGCAATGGTTTCATCCAAGGTTGGTAGATGATCACTGCCACGCCTGTATGACCCCAGGCTGCACGGTATCATTTGAAGTACAGCAGTCCTCTCCGTCAGTGGGAACCCTACTTGAGTCAATATGCAGCAACTAGCAAGGTGTTCTATTGCCTCTACATGTGCAACTCAAAGGAATTACCCTGCGAAACATGGTTTGAGAGCTGGCTAAACGTTCTTGAATCTCCTTATTGGCCATGCTCCCTGGGGCTCATGGATAATGCTGATGAAACCACTTGGGACTCTGGATGTGATATATACTTAGCTCTCAGAGTCTCACTTTATAGACCTCATTTTAATGACACACTGAATCTTCCAGGTTCCCAGAGGACTAGGCAGCATTTTAGATTTGACTTTCCTTTTATAAATCAGGGAATCAAAGAATAACAACTGCACCAGGGTATGACAAAGCAAAGAGATTACTTTTCATGTATAGCTTATGGAAATGTCTAATTACGATATATTCAAATTCATTTGTATCTTTTCTCATTGTCTTATTATGTAATTATTGTCATCCCATGTAGATTGTAAATTTCTTAAGGATAAGGACCATATCACAGAATCTAACAAGTATTTAAAATAGTAAACGTTCAACAAAAACATACATATTAAATAAATAAGTTACAAAAATAGCAAGATTCATTAATCACACAAACTCCTAACTTCCCATAAGAGTCTTTAGATTGCAATAGGAAACATGAGTATCGATAAGCAGGCTTTAAGAATTTATAAGTTCCCTAAAATTAGGTGCACAGTGATGTAAGGAATGGGCTCTGAGGCCATAAGAGTCAGAGTTTGAGCCCCAGCTACTAGCTAGCTCTATGGCCAGGAAAAAGTCATCGCCTTAAGGCTGCAAGGTCTCTGTTTCAGAAATGAGGATAACTGTGCATTCCTTGTAGTGCTGCTGTGAGGAAGGTATGAAACAACACATGTGAAGCAGTTGGCAGAGTGCCTGGCATATCATAATTGATTATCATTACAATTAGTTTTTGGTGTGAATACGCATTTCTCTGTGAAGAAGATTCATAGCTTTCACTGAATTCTCAAAGGGTTGGTGACCACAGGTGAAGAAACAGTTGTATACCCAGGAGAAAACATTAGAAAAAATTCAGCTACCAATCAGCAATGAGTTGACATTGAAAATTTATTTATAGCCCAGCTGGTGTGGCTCTGTGGTTGAGCGTGTGGCTCTGTGGTTGAGCGTCGACTCATGTAAGAGGTCGCCGGTTCAATTCCCGGACAGGGCACATGCCCAGGTTGTGGGCCAAATCCCCAAGTGGGGGGCATGCAGGAGGCAGCCAATGATTGTTTCTATCTGTCTCTCCCTCTCCCATCCCCTCTCTCTAAAAAAAAAATCAATAAAAGAAAATTTATTTATAGGCAAATACTTTACCAAAAGGAAGTTAATATGATGAATTACTAGTGTACTAGCCACAGTAATTCTCATTAGTATTATTTTTAAAATTCAATATATGCATAAAATAGATATGCAACTTGTGACTCATTGTACCTTTAAAAACACGATTGTTGTCCTAGGGTCAATTTTTTTAGAATTAAAAAATGTAAATAGCATAAAAAAGTGTGAATATTTTAAAAAATAAAATGAAGCCCTGGCTGGTTTGGCTCAGCAGTTAGAGTGTTGGCCCACGGTCCGGAGAGTCCCAGGTTCGGTTCCTGCTAAGGGCACGTACCTCGGTTGCAGTTTGTCCCCAGCCCTGGTTGGGGTCATGTGGGTGGCAACCACTCAATGTGTCTCTCTCACATCAATGTTTCTCTCTCTCTCTCCTCCTTCTCTATCTGAAGATAAATGCAAAAAAAAAAAAAAAAAAAAAAAAAATGTCCTCAGGTGAGGATAATAAAATAAAAAATAAAATGAAAATTTATATATGGTCTGATTTCAATTATATAAAATTCAATATGCATAGAAAACACCCAGTAAGCACCCATTTCATAATGTTAACTGAGGCTGTTACTGAGAGGATGATTATACAGGGCTTTATTCCTTTTACATTTTATAAATTTTTAAAATGAGCAGACCACTTTTATAATCAGAGCAAAGGAAAAAGAACTCAACCCTGTCCCTCCCATTTCTTTCAGGATGCTGATTTAATATACTTTTTTCTAGTCACAAGCGATATAGCTTGTTCAAGATTTACCATTACAGGCAACTAGGATTGACTTTCACACCCAAACTCCCAGCTGCTGCCTGAGAGAAAGGAGGAAACTACACATGGGAGGGGCAGAAGCTCCCAGTCTGCTCTAACACACGGACACACACACCACTTGATTATACGGACATCAAGCCTCTCTTAGAGTCTCAAATGAAAACCTTCCTGCTTCCACACCACAGCAAGGGGAACACGTGTGCGAATGTGGCCAAGTGGAACCAATAGTCATTTGGGCACAATGATTTGTCTCTGGATTCCAAGATCTGAAGGTTTTCAGTCTCTAAATGACCTAAGGCAACACCAAAGTTTCCATAGCCTGGAGTTCTGCAGGGTGACCTCAGGATCACAAGAATATCAGGGTGCTTGCTCCACTCAGCATAGAACCAAACCTTCCCTTTGACCATCTCATGTTACTTGGGCACTGAGACAAGATTCCAGTGAGGCTGGCAAGAAAGCTTCCTCTTGGAAACCTTGCAGAGGTTAGCATGGCCCGACCGGCTCCCAACCAGCCTACAGAAAGTTCTCCGCCCTCAGCAGCTCGCCCCTGCGCTCGTCCATTCATGGGATGGGCTCCCAGCGTCGAAGCTGGTATCAATTTGCAAATGTGAAAAATCTTTTAATGAGGAAACTGCCAACTCATTGAAGTTAATGAAAGAATTATTTCCATTAAAAAAAAGTAAAAAGGAGGTGCAAAAGTTACAGAAAAGAAGGCATACTGTTCAGTGAAGTTTAAGTGGGGAAAGGAAATCACACAGAAGTATTTACTTCTTACCCAGTAGCCAAGATTCCCTCACACTCTCACATACAGTTAAACCTATGAGGTGTGGCAATCAGTTAGAAAACAATATTAATTTCTCAAAAATATCCTGCAGGTCTACATTTCTAATAATCTTTATGATAA